GCTCAACACTGCTGGAAACCCACCGAGTGCAGCACCAGTAGCTGCCAAGGAATCCCAGCTTGGCACAGCAGGAATGGTCGGAGGTGAAACAGATCCCGGCCCCGTGGTGACACTCGCCAAAAAGACGGGAGCAGTCGGGACAAAGGCTGTCTCGGTGTTGGATGCTGAAGCTGAGGGGGACAAAGCAGGAATAGGCGTGGCAGGCAGGACTAGCAGGCCGTTCGCTAGGCTGGCAGGCGGTACTCCTTCGGGGAGAGGGAACGGAGTGGGAGCCTGGCAGCTTGTTGCCCACGATTGCCTTGCAGCCTTGTGCTGTGATGGTTTTGCCCTCTTTGCCGGTGTCGATCTGACGGTGGTGTCCAAGAAGCGAAAAGGGCGACATCTGGTGCGTTTCAAATCACCGTGGTTCATCTTGGGTAGCGTCGGCAAAGTGCAACAAAAAATCCAGTCAGACGGGAACGGAGAAGAGGACAGAGTTCCTAAGAGACGACAGGAAAAATTGCAAACTAAATCCCAAGAGATGCGAAACAACGGGGCAAAATAATCCAGCAAAGCCAAAAGTAGACCAGAGAAAATAAAATTTGCTCTGTACGCTGTGACAGAGTGCCAAGTGTTGCAGTTTCCACTGCGAGCTCGTGCTCGTGTCCCACATGGAAGAGCCACCACTGATTGGCTAAAAGTTTCCGAAAAGAAATTTGCATGAATGCGCCCTTTTGCTCTATGCTTAATTAAACCATATCCGGCAATACACCTACATGTACGTGACCCTCCTTCAATGCTGAAATAAACAAAAACGTATCCAGGCCGAGTCACATGTCCCATAATTTGTGCAATCAAACATACTGCCGCGACCCCGGGAAGCATGTATATAATCGCCGTGTATAACATCTTTTACCCCACATTATCGATCTGGTAAAAGGCGGTAAATACAAACATGTGGAAATACTGACACAGACATAGTTTTTGTTGCGCATCTTTGAATACATTGGACATGTAAATACAAACATGCTGAAAAAGTTACAGAGTTTTGGTTCTCCATCCTCTAATATCTGGTACATGTAAATTCATACACTGTACATTCTGAAATAGTTAGACTTCTTATTCCCCATCTTCTATTATATTATACATTGATACACAGACTCACGACAAAATTACACCCACATGTTGGTACAGCGGATGATAAATGCATGCCTGCATCGGACCTTGATGCTGGTACACTGGACCTTAACAAAGAAGGGTACACCGGACCCTATAAATACTGGTACACCGGTCCAAATGAAAGGGAGTACAAAGGACCACCATCAGGAAAGGTACACCCGCCAAACCCAAATTAATATTGGTGCACCTGAGTAAAATAGATAATGCGAGACCTTAGTCTGATAATTGCACTGGAATGCACCCGTTGACATTAACACTATGGTACCGATACATGTACATGTATACAAGTGAAAGATGGTGCATGGTGTTCCACCAATGTTGAACACTTGGTCGGTAGCATAGCCTTTTACATGTACGTATACATTAAAATTTTGATAAGTCGAAGCTCAGGGGAATGGACGAAAAGTTTGAGGTCTCCGAAGTTATCGAAAGTTACTCACTTCAGTGCGCATGCAACCTTACTGGCTTACGGCAGTTGGCCTCAAGCTGAGTCGAACACGAACAATAGACCTAGCCGTAGCCCTGAAAGCCTGTTTCGGACACGGCCTTTACGATTGCAGTTGCAGATGACCCAGTGCTTGTCGAAGTGACAATGGCAGCACGTGTGAACACGCTCGGCTCATCAAAGAAAAGCCGTGTGCCTGACAGTAATGACTCATAATGAAGGCAAGCGTTCTTTCATCACTTTTTATTCATCATTCTTCAATTTTTTTTTAACTGGCCTACCAAAACTTCGAGATAAGCTGCTTTACTGGTATTGACGTTTCGAGTTATGGATAGTTTATTGTTCATAAAGGCCTATTCTTTTGTTGGGAATACAGAAAGATATCGAGGTAAACGGAGTTTCGACTTAACAGGCTTCGACTTATCAAGATTTTACTGTATCTGCACTGACAGCTTAGTATTTAATGAACTGTATGTATGCCATGCTATTAATGATGTACATGAATGGATGCATGTGATGGCTGAAAGGCTAAAATAGATTAGGCTAAAGTAGATTTTCTATTTTTTTCTCTCACAGATGACCGACATATATAAGGCTGTCGTTTATTTCCTGATACAGTCGCACCTAATTATTGTACAGAATGTGAATCTGCATTAACCCTTGCAACAGGGAGTGAAAAAATCTCTCTATCTTTCGTAAGAAAGATTTGGGTCACTGTTTCAACTTATATTTGTAGCCTTGCCACTCTGTTTACATTTGGATAGGTTGGTTATGAAGGTTTCAAATTGTTCTGCTAGTAGGCTCATCCGGTTGGATTTGGTGATCTTGGTCTTAGTTCGGCATGTTGTGGAGAAATAGTTCTTTTTCTGTTGACTGTGGGTTCTCTTCTTTTCTTTATTTAGTTTTATTTGGGCCATTGCTTTGACTCTGGATAGGTGGTAATAAAGGAGTATTGTCCAGGGTATATGGTTGTATTCCTCAATTCAATATGTGTGAAGTGGAAGTATAGGGAATACTTGTGAGGTTGTGGTTATACTCCATTATTAAGGTTATATTTATATAAGACAGCAGTGACTAGAAATATTCTCTTTTAGAGATGTGGTGGTCTTGAAAAAGACTGTTTGGTTTGAAGAGACTTATCTTAGTATGGGTGCTTCTTCTTCATTAATTCTGGTTGGGTTTTCGGAAGAGTGAAGTAGTCAAAGAAGTTACGGGCTGTGGTGTAGTTGTGGCTTGGTGAGGAGTAGTGCCGTTCAATTTTGGAGTTTCTTCCACTGTTCGAGAAAGGAGCTCTGGAATTTGAGCAAATGTTGTGGCTGAGGTGGACGTACCCTAATGTAGGCCTACACGTAGATGTAACTAGGTGGTGTTTGAGTCTCGATTGCCTTTGACAGAGAGTGTGTTTATAGGGTGATGTGAGTTTTGACAGATGCAAGTCTGTTGACTTTGTCAGACTCCTAACCCATTGGAACTGTGTGTCAGTTATAGGTGGTGTGGTTGCATGACTCGTTCTTTGTCGGTTAATGGTTGTTCACGGGACTGCAGGTCCAGTGACAGAAGAAGGGAATCGTCGTAACTAGAGGTATCTTGGGCTTCTTGTTGTTAGCAGAGGATGTCTGAAACAGAGCTGGGCATTGATAACGGTGGTTCTCAACGGCTGGCCTGGATCTTGTTCTTGCCCGATGACTTGCTGAGTTTAGAAGTGTTGTCTGAACTGTTGTGGGACGGCTAGATTGGGTGTTTACAACGTTTTGTTTGTGTAACGTGGCAGAGGGTGCACTGGAGTATGGCAAAGAAACTGTGAATTGTGATTGGTCAGTGCATTGTCCAATGGGTGCACTGATGCGCTAGTGGGGAGAATCCCAGTTTTTTCGGCCGGTATGTTTGTTTCTTTTGGGTGAAAAGTGCTTTTTTTTTAGGGATGGGTTTGGTTTGGGTTTGAGGGCTGAGGCATACTGGAGTAAATAAATGGTGGAAAAGATACATAAAGAAGACGTGCAGTTCTCTACAGTAGTCCTCCAGAGTCAGCGAGAGATCCCCGCAGATGTGGTCGAAAATTCTGAATCGGCGGCGGTTATTTGGCAAAAGTCGGATATTTATAAGTCAGTTATGACATTTTGCTGTTCTGGCGGTAGAGAACAAATACCTAAATATGAACTACGACATTTCTAATGTAAGTCGTAATACTAGTGTTTCCTACGGTTATAAGAAGGTTGAAACATATTGTAGGAAAGCATTTGACAATGTGACAAGGTTTCATGCCGAGCCAGTCGTGGCCCGTGACATAAAGGAAAATGTATCTTCCCATTTTTGTGTGTTGTTTATTTTGCTCTGGACCAGCTCCATTCAGTTTTCTTGTCACATATTTGTAGAGAATTTGTGTTTGTCAGTAATTTTGTTTATTGTTAAGAGAGATGATTTGGGGGTGTAAAGATGTAACCAGGCTTTGTTTATTTTTGGAATATCAGAACAATCACTAAAATTATCAAAATTTAAGTCTCTTGATGGTGGCCATGTTGAACGTGCGGAAGTTTACTTACACGCATGTCCGGTACCTACAATCCTTTGCAAATGCAACTCCACGCATGCCTTATAGCCTGCAAGTGGCACATAACTTTTGTCCTTGCAGCATGTGCAGTGCTGGCGGTGGCCATCATTGACCCTCTTGATCTCTGTATGTGCTTACTCCTTGTGTATGATAACTCCATGACCTAGTCAACTGTGTGGAAGAAGACAGAGATTGCATTGTATGTAGTACCCTAGCTCAACATTAACAGACAAACTTGGTGTGTACNGGTCGCTGAGTGAGTGATCTTGGAGTAACCTGTCCTTGGCGATGGTGCATGCTTCGGATGTGGGTACGTTAGTGAAGATAGAGACTACATCGAAGCTGACAATAATGTCTGTGGGGCGTAGAGACAACCTGTTGATGAACTGGGCGAACTGGTCCGAGTTCTTGATGTGATGTGGACTTCCCGCCTTCACGCATCATCGGACTAATCCCTATCTCCAGAATCCTCCACCAGACTACTTAAGCCCCACTTCCAGTCAGTATCCGGCATTCTCCTGATGACGAGCAGAGCATACTGCTTGAAACGTCGAGTGCCACTGGTTCTTTTCAGAACCACAAATACTCACAAAAGAGATACGTCCATGGTGCTACCGCAATTAAACCTACTTTCTATTATACCTCTTCACCATGCAAACCTTCAAGACTTATCTAAGTGGGTGAGGACAAATAATCACAGGTGGACCATCAGTGGCTATCACTGGTGGCCTTCACCGGTGGTCTTCAGGCTGTTACAGAAGAGGTAAGCAGAGATCAATGATAGCAGAGGTAACTACCCATAGTACTTGCCTCTTGCAAACCACGCCACATTTGTTGTCTTCTCTCCAGGGCTTTCCACACTTGGACGTAAACTCTGGTTGCCAGGAAGGATGCGGAATCAAGTTTGAACTGCCCCTCTTACTGCTGCTGTGAGCTGGATTTCCATCTCAGCTGGCATGTATCCACATGACATTATAGGTATTGATGATTGATACCAGACTGACTAAAGACCAAGAGGGCACTGTAAGAAGAAACCATCAAATGGAGCCAGACCATCTTTAAGCAGCTGAACTTTGAGTAAGAATAACAAAACCTTTCATGTTTGTTTACTTATGTATAGCTGTGCAATCAGTTTTCAACAAAAGTTGTAAATGAGGCAGTGACTTTCCATTATTGCAAAATTAAGATTTTTATCTTTATTTCTTTTTTCTTTTTCTTTTCTAATCTATTTGTTCACTGAATGATCATAGCCAGGCGTTTTTACATGCAATGGAGAATTATCTACCATTTTACATACTTGGTCAGAACCCAGAGGAAGAAACCAGCTTGTTCAACCTCTGAGTATTACAAGTTTGCATTGAAGAAGGAATGTGTGCATTCCTTCCCAGAGAGGTAGAAATGAAGGTGAAGGTGTTAGAACGATGTTCTTCCCATGGTTCAAAGCAGCTACATGTACCTTAACTTGGTGTTTCTCCTGCTATTGCCTCATACCTACTCCTTCCCCAACACCAAGACGAGGTACATACTAGTTGTGGGACCTTTTTATGCTAAATTTGTAAACTGTACCTTTTAGTTGTCTGACACGTAAGAAAGGAGCGAAATGTCCACCATAGAAAAACACTGCAGTACATGTAGGTACATAGTGCTGTACACCTACAGACCAAGAAGACTTAACGTTTTCTTAATCATTACCAGACCTGACTTGCTTCAAATACCATACACTCACTGAGAAGACCCAGACATTAGGAGTGTCTGGATTATCTTCAGTACGCTATGGATCACCAATGTGTTGGACACCATACATCCGTTTGGCAAGAAATCCTGTACATTGCAGGGGAATTAGTCAGGGCTTAGCAAAGTCCTTCCATTGAAAATGGGTAAGATTCAGTGGCATAAATACAGGGGAGCACATGCCCTCCCCCATGCCTTTGCTGTACCCCCCTGGCCCCTTCCATTTGAAAGCTGTCTCGGTTGAGTTTATAATACCGTAGCTGTGCAGCTGCATTGTGTATTCCATTATTCGTGTCTCTCTGTCTTTCCACCTCCTTTACTTTCCCAGGTTAGACAACATCTATATCATTATCCTCAAGTTGTAGAGCATTCATCTTTCTACTGTTGAATGTCACAATCTTAGTTTTCCATTTGTTAATTTTGTAAGCATTATCCCCTTTGCCAGGTCAGACGAGTTGTTGTTTTTCCTTTGTTTCTGGTAGTGATTGGATGAAAAAGGGCAGTATTTCTTCTGTAAAGCCCACATCTTCGAGTTTAGACATCATTTGCCATCTGGTTCGTGTGATGTTTTCTTTTTTGTCTTGTTCATAACTCGGTCAGGTAACAGATAAATATCCGTACATTGCACATCTGTGTTTCACTCAATCGTTACTAGGAACCACAGAGTTACCTCTCCTTATAGTATTGTGCATTCATTGTCTATATCATTTAACTTTACTGTTCTAATGTTTTTTTCCATGAAATTAGACACTGTCTCATTATCTTCCATGATCTGCCCTGGTGTGTCAAATCTTAGGTTTGTCAACGTCTGTGAAGTTTATGTGAAGTTTATAACATGAAAATTGCCATTCAGTGGACTGTACACAGTGTTATAAACACAGTGTTGTTAAGTGTGAACATCTGTTCCATTGTACGAACTTCTTCCCTTACGAAACCCTGCTCCTTCCGGTCTGTGCTTCATGTCAATTTCATTCTGAAGTTTGTTAATTGCTGTCTTTCTATCTTCTTTAACAGTTCAAATTTTTTCTGTTTCTCCTGTCATTCCATACTTCAGCCCTTTGTTTGCCTGCAATATTTTCGTTAACTAGGCACCTATCAATGTTTTCCAATTCTGGAAATGTACATGTATAGAGTGGCTGGGATATCTTTATTGAAGATTTTCTCAAAATGCTTCTTCTGTTATCCTTTCCCCATGTCATCTGTAATGACATTGCCTCATTTGTCCTTTACTGCCATTTTGTTTCTTGGTTTGTACAAGTAGTTTGAATTTTATCATACATTGTTTTCATTTGTCCATTTTATCTCAGTGGTATGAGCATCATTGGCCATGCCCTCTACCCACTTTCCTCTTTGGATTTCAAGCTTGATTGCGCTTCATTGTCTTTAGTTGTATATTCCTCCTGTAATTGTTTGTGGTAGATTTTGCCTTTTGACTTTGTTTGATATGTTTTCTCTTGTAAGACATCTCTCCACAATGCTGCACTTGTCCGTGGCTTCTGCAGTGATGAAGTTGAGTACTTTTTGAAAACCGAGTTCTCTTCCAAATATTTAACTAGTTAGGAGGGAACAAAGCTGAAGTACATCGACATTTGATGGAACATGCATAAAGGTAAGATTACAAAGCAACATAATGACTTCAGGCCATCACTTTTGATTAAAATTAAAATTTTAGGACAAAAGTACTCAGAAAGTACTCGGCCGAGTACTTGCAGAGTTCTTTTCTCCTTAAAACTTAAATTTTACACAATTGGGAGTGTCTGAAGTCTAACAGTTATTTTGTAATCTTACCTTTGCACATTTACCATCAAATGCCTGTGCACTCTGCCTTTATTCCCTCTTACCCAGTTCAGTATTTTGTGGAGAATGTTGGTACTCGGAAAGTACTCGACTACAACACTGGGCTTCTGATTCTTTTTTCTGATTTTCAAGATCTTGTAAGCTATCTAGTGAAATGTGTTGCTGAAATTTTACTTTGAGACACTTTGTCTCCACATGAATTTTTCTGAACTGCTTCAAGCACTGCCAATGTATTCTTAAGTTCAGCTGAGAATTGAGTTTTTTTGCCCGGTTCTGCAGTTTGCTTACATTGTATTTCATTCTATGAAAGTCTTTCTTATCTTTTCTTTTAATTTCAAGCTTTGTTATCTCACTAGTTGGTGATCATAAGCAACATATCACCTGTCATTTGTCGAGTCCCTAAATGAAGACAGTACTTTTTACTAATTAGAACATGATCAATTTAATTTTTTTAATGTTCTTTTGTGGGGAGAGCACGCCTGCATACTTTAAAAACAGATATATCCCTGGTGATACATACCACAAACCTATCTAGTTTAAGAGCATTCCTGTTGTCACAAATATGTTTAGTCCACAAAAGTCAATTAGCCTTTCTCCCTTCCTGTAAATTACTCCATTTCCATGCTTCCTCGTGATTGTTTCAATATACATTTATCTATCTCCAGTTGTAATCACCCCATCGTGGTAATTTGCTCTTTGCACTGTTTTTCTGTAGTTGCTCATAGAGGTTATCCTTTGCCGCATGTGGTGCATCCTTAGTTTGTGCGTAAACATGAATTATAGCCAGTTTTATGAATATATAATATATGGATTAAAATCTGGCTGTAATGATTCTATCATTCTTCATTCCGTATGAGTGTCCTTTCGCTAAATCTAGTCATCATTACAGCTACACCACTCTGATCTGCCATCTATGCCAGAGGAAATTACAGTTTCACCTGTACTCAATTCCGTTTTGTCAAATCCATTCCATCTGTATTCACTGATGCCTAGTATGTCAATCTTGTGCTGACTTTTGCTATCTGAGCTCTTTTTCCCAGTTATATGCATTGTACTGTGGCGCCGCACCCCTCCGACGAAGGCGAGGGCGCCCTCTTCCTTGAGGCGCGGTGCGTCGGACGGCACGCCGGAGAGTCCCTGAGCGGCTAGGGACGAGTCCGTTGGGACCGAAGTATACTGTCCCCCAAGAAAGTTGGTCTTCGTCGAGATGATGGTTAATCTGATTGGTCGAAACTTAATGACGTAACCCGGACAGACCTGACTTGAAATAAACTTCGCCTGGACTCCTGACTTATATACAACAATTAATAAGCGGCTGGTTTATTCATCAACACACTCAACCAATATACCAGCAGAGGGCACTATTGACGGGGAGACTGTGTGATTATACGTGACCGGACTTCACCCAGAGCAGTGAACACCACAATTAATTGTGGGCATCCAGTGCCGAATCAGGGACTTTAGCAAGTCTACGGGGCTTATTGTCAGGGCTGCGCTACATGCAACTCACGTCACGAGA